AATTTAATTGATTTAATTCCAGCAGTAGAAATGTAGCAACTAAGTTTGATATCATAGTCTCTAATATACATAAATCGGCATTACTAAATTAAAACTATGTATGAGAAAACTAAATGTATAATAAATCAAAATATCAAGATTGTTAATAAAATCAGTAGTCAACATACTAAAACTAAATATCAACATATACCTTTTTAACATATTTTACTTAAGATAAAAAGATTACTTTTTTATAATACAATAAATATATTGATGTGTTCGATATCAGCATTTTAACAAAATATGCCAAACCTAAGTATCAAATATATATGAAAATAAAATTAATTTTTTTAAATACCTGGCTTATTAATTGATTATATATATATATATATATATTTAAATTGGATTACATATAAATGTAAATTTAATATTCCCTTTTTAGGCTTGAGATGTATTCTATATTAATTAAAATCAGCACATTTGATTTTGACACAATTGGAAGACTTAAGTGATTTTAAAAGTTTAATATCTATGAAATTTTACATTTTTTTTTACATAAATATAGATGATTTTTATTCACTAATATTAAATTTACATTATTGATATGGTATAAAATAATGTTTGTAACCTAAAAAGAACTTAGTATTTGCGCATGCTCATCGTGAATTATATTTTGGAATTTACATATTTTTCGTATGAACAATGCGCCGGCGTCAACGCTAATCAATATTATATAATGATAAATATAAATAATATTACTGTAAGTGAATATAACGTAATTATTAACATTCAATTTATTTTTTATATCAATACTACTAATTATAAGAATAACAAAATTTAATTTATTTTGAGACTTAATATTATTGTTAAAAGTTCATATAATTTTTAGTTTATAATCATTAAAAGTATTACTATAAATTATATCAATAATTATTTAAATGAATTTTAATGTATTTTGAATCTAATAATAATAATGGTATTGTTATGTTAAAATTATAATTTTAACAGATTCAATTTAGAGATTAGTAGATTTATTTCCAAAGTACAAATTATTCAAAATAATTCTTTATTACAATCAAGATAATCTTTGTTTTTAATAAATATAATTTATAACATTTAAATAAATTTTAATATATGATTGTAACTATTATATAATAGGCTTTAATAATATATACTCAAATAATAAATGCATAACTAATAATATTGTATAGGTAATAAAAAAAATCTGAAAAAGAATAAAATTGATAGTCAGACAAAATTGTAAATAGAAATTTTACTTAAACAAAAATGTAATACTGAAATTCAAGATATGTATATATATATATATATATATATATTATTTTAATAAAAATTTTCTATATTAACGTATAAAATTGTAATAGATATGCTTTGAAAATAACTGTTTTCACTTATAGCGATTATAAGAAATTTGTAAGGCAAAACTAAGGAAAAAATGTGGGCAATGATTGAAACAAAATGAATTCAACAATCATTTTTTCTATAAAAATAATTAATATTAAATAAACTATTAACTATTTGATTGAAATATTATCATGTATATATATATGAATTGCTTCGTGCATGCGCGTGTATACATTTTTTTAAATTCATACATTTGAATTCATATTTTAGTTTTATAAAATAAAAAGCATATTTATATAATAAATGTATTATTACATTAGTTTATATAATTTTATACATTGGTAATTTAATGCAAAAGTGTAGAAAATACAATAAAAATGTTTATATTGCCAAAACTATTTTTTATGTAATTAGAATTAGCTTTTGTACACTTCGGATTTTAAAGATATAAATGTATAAAATATATTAAGTGAAATTAATTTTTTAATATATTATATTGTATTTAATATAATATATTTAATATATTATATAGTAAACAGCTTTTAGAACTGATGATATATAATGATAAACAGTTAATAATAATTTATCATATTAATTTCTTTTAATTTTATAATCTTTCATATTCTTAATAGTAATATGAATATAATATTACTTATCTACTACATATTTCTATACATTTAGGTAATAACTTAACTTTACAATAAAAACCTTAAAAAATGTTTATGGTTTGATATTTAAAATAAATATAATTCGAAGTAGTCAAATCCATGCATGTTAAAATCAATAATGTATCACAACAAAAATTTTATCTGTGGTCGTGAATTTCAATGGATGCTATGTCCGACTGTTGATCGTGAAATTTCATTCTCATAATCCAGTGAGTATTGAATATTTCCGATATTATATTTAACTAAATATTAATACATCAAGATAATTCTATCAATTACTGGTAACAGTCGTTTACGTAAGTATGATAAAGTTTGGCGATATTATATGATTTGTTTGATTCCTATATAATTAAGTTTTAGTATTAAGTACATTTACCATTAAGAATTTTTTTTTAAATCATAATTCCATATCGGTTCTAGAATATTAACAAGTCCATTTTATTAACACTAAGATAATTATTAAAAAATTTACTTTGTATTTAGTAGTATTCTATATTATGAATTGAATATCGACTATAACAATTTTAAATAGTACATTTTTATAAAAAAAGTTCATTTTTATAAAATAGTAATTGTTTTATATTTTAACTAATTAAGATATTCATATCTAACAATTTTTAGTACTAATATATAATTCTGATGACGAAGATAGATCTACTCTGCTGTTTTGAAAAATCATCAAAACAAGTATTAAATTAAAACATAACATAAGAAGATCGAGTGGCATAAATGTTGATGATATTATTCTGAGGCTTATTATATTCGAATTTCATTTAATTTTATTTGTTAAGATGGTGCAACATTCTAATTTCAAAAGAAACTGAAAATACTCTGTATCCAGTTTTAGTTGATAAGTAAAAAAGCATAAGATAATAATAGGAATCTATTAAATTTTAATTGAGAATGATCTAAGATAAGGAGAAACCATACAATGAATAAATAATGTAACGATTAGAAATATATCCATTTCAAATGTTCCTAATACGATCTCTGTCCAATAACAATTTTTAACTAAAACTTGGATTTATCAATTATCTTAATGTTATAGAAATATAAAAAGTACTAGTTTTTTTCGAAGATTGATATAATTATCTAAACAATTCTTATTTGACTTATTAATTCTTAACAGAAATTTAGATTAATTGCGATTATAAATTTGGGTCTCTTGATAGATATAAGTGTTAGATAAAGTAAAGATAAATTAGATAAAAGATATGTGATAAAAAAATTAAATATTATTGATAATGTATCTAATATTTAATTTTTTTAAATTAATCAATTTCACATACAAACGAAATAATTTTTCTTTTCAATAAGGAGAAATTCTAAAGATCAGCATAAATAAACTAAGAATAGTCATATAATTCATTTACGTAGATATAAGAATAACAGTATTAATTTTTATTTACTACTAGATTTATGCAAAATTATTAGAATTATTTATTTTTTAATCGTTAAATTTTCAAATTAATAGCTATCTCTTGTAAAACATTTACATATTGAAGGATTTTTGCGTTTTTCTAAGCATATGCGCATGCGCAGTACTTAAAATATTCGAAGTTTCTAATAAAATATTTATGCGTTGTTTAAAATGTATATATAATTAAATTTAAGAAAGTCAGAATAAGAGCAATACTTAAGCATATAAAATAGATATAATAATTGTTAATCTAAATAATATACAATTTTCCATTTATCAATAATCGGAATACAAATATGTATTCAAAGTGTTAAAAAAAATAAAAAGAGGTTGTATAATTTCGATGTAACATTAAAACGGGTATAATAATTTTGAAAGTAATGTGTAACTTGTTGTGTGCTAATAAGTAAGTAAAAAAGAGTGTAGTCTTTTACTCACGGTAATTTAATAGATACTAAGATCACATAAAATTAAAAAATTTGATAAAATCGTACTATTAAAACAAGCACATATTAATAATTACAATAGATTTGAAAAAAAAACTATCGAAATATATGGGAAGAAATAGTCATGATATAATATTAAAAGTATTAACAATATGCATTAGATTTCATAGTTAAATTATTTCCACAAGGGGCCGGGAGGTCTAAATTATTATAAGCTAAAAATATTCTTGTAATTCTAGTTTTATTATAAAAATTAAAATATATTTATATGAAAATAAGATTTAATTAAATTTTTTGTTATAAGTATATTAATAGATAATTTAATTTTCAGTTGACAGTAAAATTTTTTTAATTTAAAAAATTTAAATTAATTACACCAAAATATATATGATAATATAATCAGAGAATGTTAGTTTAGTTAATAACTATATTAGTGATCAATTATTACATATTTTCTAATAGCAATGTAATCATTTTATATATAAATTATATCTATTTTACACAGTATATTTAAAATTATTGTAATAATAATGTAACAAAAATAATATAGTTTAAATATTTAATTAAAGTTGCCTGTAGATATATTTTATAAAGATTTATGATATACTTTTTAATTAAATATTTTTAATAAAAAAGTAATTCATAAAATAAAATTGTGAACAATTAAAACCTAAATAATGTATATTTTTATACAGAGCTTTATAATGCATAAATTCTAAGTTTTATATTACTTTATTACATATAATATATTTCACATTAAAAAAAAAATTCACTTTTATATATTAAGTATATGTTGTCATTTGATCATAAGATAAAGAGTGAAACGAGTAATTTATTCATTAATTTTTAAACAATATGTTGTTGTTTCTGTGGTCTAAACAAAAGTTAGTACTTCTTATCTCTTTTAAGTACAATTACTATGATCTGAAAAAAATGTTTTAAAAGATATATAATTTTTACAAGTATATATTTATTTTAACAAGCAATGTATTTGTCAAATACAAATTTAAAAATAAAATTTTATAAATTAATATTTATTTTACAGAACTTAATTTTATAGAACAATTAAAATAATAGATATTTTATGATTATATTTATGTACTGTTTAATAAGTAAACTTAAAAAATGTCTGGTCATTACACAAATCACACAAAAGCTCTTGCAACCTCTTCTGCTACAAGAGTGTGGAATCACCATAATACTTCTCAAACTGAAGGTATATTTATTGTTTTGAATAGATATATGTACTTTTGTAATAAAAATTATATTAATTTTATAGCTTAAAAATATATATATATTTACATATGTAATCAATAATTTTTAATTTAAATTGAATATTATGTATTATAATTAGTTTTACAAATATCTGATGACACAAAAAATTGAATTTCAATCTGTTAATCGAATATTTCAAAAACAATATTTGTAAGATATAAGTGACCATCAATTTAGCTGATATATTAAATTAAGAAGCATTCATAACTAAGAACTATTTGAAAAGTAAATTATTGTTTATTATGTAATGATACAATTAATATAGTAGCACTAATTGAAAATAATGTTAAACTTAAAACAGTTTATGTAATTTATTTTATATTATTTTAGACAGTCTATTATAAACCTATATTGTACATGTTAATTTAAGATAGAACTAGTTCTATTTGAAGTTTTTTTGCAATATTTATAAAAACTAAGGTATTCTTGATATTACATTACTGTGCTTTGTTACAAAGAAGTGTTTGTTACGTTTAAACCACATATGTAAAATTGTAGTACAATAAATTCAAGTAAGAATGCAGATAGATTTTTTGGATTTAGAATAAAATGGACTTTTTTTATAATTAATCGTGATTATTAATTTGAATTAACAAGCTTTTGTTAATTCACATACAGTTTTGATTAAATTCACCTTTTTTGGTTACACTTGTTACTTTGATTAGTAATTTCCTTCTGTGGAACTTTTTATACAGTCAATGAGATAATGAATTGATTGAATTGGTGGGAATTTATTATTTATAAAGGGACACAGATAATTAAACAATAATTAAAAAAATATATAAACATTTTTAAATAATTAAAGTACAGATAAGGAAATTAGTAAATGTTGATTTTAAAAATGGAAAATACTATGAAAATACTATAAAAATACTATGAAGATGGTTTTAACTTAAATAACAGAAAGAATAAATAGAAGATAAGAGTGGAATTATCAAAAAGATGACAGGATTACTGTTGAGACTTTTTTTAAACTTAAAAGTGCAAAATGTTAATGTTAATGGGAATTCAAATTAAAACAAAAGAATATAGAAGAAAGAATAAATACATGGTAACCAATTACAAGTAATAAGGAATGTAATTTACGAAAAATATAAATAACTTAGAAATAATAGAACTATTAAGTAAAGAAACAAACAGTAATACTTTTCAAAGCTTAAATACAAGCACAATTATATAAAAATATATAATTGACAAAAAAAAAATTAAAATTAAATATAATATTTTGATGAAAATAATAAATAAATAAATGAGACACAAAAAGTATTAGAAAAGAATACAAAGATTGAATAGAAATAAAAATATTTAAAAATTGATACATAAAAGAATTGGATTTCAATAATTGATTTTTTTTAAGTAAATTGCAATATTAACATAAAAGTTGTAAAATAGAACATGTAAATTAATTTTGTATAGAAGAATAAATAAAGTAAAAAAGGAATTTTGAGAACCATTTGTATGAATTTTAAAAGCATAAAAGTAGTTTGATTGCCAAATTAAATTCAATAACTCTCCTACCAAGTTTTATCTATGTATATCTAAATTTGCAATTAAAAACTTGATAGGCAAACCATAGTATTAAAGCAAAGCATAATGGCAATTTGTTTCGTGTGAGAACATTAATTTTCTGTTATTTTATTTAATTCTTAAACATAATTAAGTGCTGATACAATATAAATGATATTCATATATTTTTTGTTTGATTTTTTTGGTTTATTAGCACTAAAGACATAGAAGAGATAAATATGATTAATGTAAAATAAAATTATTATATAAGTGACAAAATGTTGTTTAAAACCAAATCTCATATAGCGATATAAAAAGGAATACATGCGTGTTCGAGAATGCGAGAACATGTTCTTGCCACGACTTCCCACGGTCGCTGGGCATTCGAGATGGTCAATACATCTGGAAAATTCCACTGAATATTTAGATTATTTATTCTTGCTTATCTAAAAACGTGCTCATGCTTTTCCGGTGCAGTAAAAACTAATATGTTGTTTACTGTTAAGAAGATGTAGATGCAGTAAAAACTAATATGTTGTTTACTGTTAAGAAGATGTAGATTCTGATAGAGTATCAGATATACGTAAAATATCGAGTACTTACATTTCCTAAATTTCGCTGCAATCCAAAACCCCGCACGTACAACAACAAGCAATAGGCGTACGTGCGCATTCGGCTTTTTAAGACAATACATTGTTCCTAACTACGCCGCATCTAGTCGATCGCATCGGAAAATCGACCACGCCCAAGAGGACCCTTTATATAGCCAAGTACCAGAGAAGAGAGAGGCTCCCCACTTCCGACACTTTCCCGATTAGCATATTCGAGACTGAGCCCGGAAGGAAGTGGAAATGAAGGCGTACATAATCCATTGTGCTCCCAAGGTCAATCTCTAATTGGATAATTGAAAGAAGAAGGGGTCCCAAGTGGAACTGGGTCAGTGAACTATTTAAGAAGGGCAATCCAATGTACCGCCACTTATTCCTATTCTTATTCTTCACCTGATTGAAAGGATTAGTCACGACTTACTCTCATGGAGGAGGACCAGAGACAAAGTCGTTCAGCTGAGTCTAGTAACAGTTCTTTCTACGACTGTGAATCAATATATAGTTAAAATTGATCTCATCAAGATTAGATTGCATAGGACAGGCCTCTTGTAATCTCACTTGAAGACAAGGAAGGAACTTAAGAGCTACAATTATTGAAAGGGAACTTCACATCAAGCCAACGAAGAGAGACTGGAAAATTCACGATACACTGCAAGTAAGTCATTACTGCTAGTACTGCGGAAGAATCACGCTACACTGCAAGTAAGTCCTTACCGCTAGTACTGATTCTTGATCTCTCGGCTTTACTTTGAAAACGGACGACTAAAGGTCCGACTACTGAAGCTTCCCAAGCATACTCTAAAAAACAAGAGCAGCTATAGACGCCACACCGTGGCTTACATTTCCTCCAACGAATAGCTATTCGCGCCACACTATAAGAGCACATCGCAATAACGATCAATTGTTGACGCCACAGGTGGCGCATAGCTCCGCATAACCTCTATTTTAGGCTCTTACACGACCCATTATTTACAGATCAGAGCACTACAACGATCATAACCTTAAAAGTGATAATATTTAAAAGATTATAACCTATTTCTTTTTACAGCAAATAATAATCTCATGAGTTATATGCAGAGAATAAGAAATTGATTATCCTTTAGTTCTCCAATAAAAGGATATATCTCAACGCCACAAGAGTATTAAGAAATATAAAGGTCATTTGTAATTTCACCATGGTTAATGATTCCAACTTGGAAATAAAGTGAAATAAATGGAATAAACAGCAATAATAAAGATATGTGTTAATTATTTAATCAGTGCATTAACCCTTTACTTGCCCAGCATTTCTCACACAACATCTAGTGGTTTTTTGTTCTAAGTTAATTTTGCACGTTTGGCTGACGAGTCAGATTTGTGTAATTATTTTTTTGAACAATGCGGTATGCTATTACTTAAAATAAAGAAGTTGATATGATGAATATTGGATTGATTATGCAGCTTAGGAATCAGAAGTTCAATATCAAATTATACAAAATCAAAAGAAAAAATTTATAAAAAAAAGATTGATACTACAGGAATTAACGAAGACATAAATATTACAATCGTAAATTCAAATGTATATTATAAAATTTCAGATCTATTATATTTGGTTTCCAATTATTTTGTACAAGATTGAAAATAAGAATGCTATAGAAAAAATAAAACAAAATAGATGAAAAACTTTTAATTTTAAGAAAGTACCATGAATAAATCAAATGAAGAAACTGATTAAAGCAATTGGTTAAAAAATTATTAGAGAATAGGTTTTTCACTTGAATCAAAAACCAATATTTCACTTTGCTAATCATTTATAAGTACTAAGTTATCATCATTAAATACTTTTTAATTACTTTGCATTAATAATGTCAAATTATTAGCGGAATTAAAGAGAAAGGTTAACAAGTGCAGGTTGACTTAATAAATTTATTACAATCAAATTTGTTTTACATGAATTTTATTTATATAATTCATGTAATACTGATAGTAATAGAGACTACTGTTATATCTTCGTGTGAAGGAGGGTCCGACACCATGCTTCGTGTAGTCAACTATTTCCTTGTCCTGCAGTCAGCCCTTGACTGGTTGTTAACCGTTGGGCACTGAAGAATTGAACGTGTGTTCCTTGCAATGACTGCACTGAGAGAGCATGGGTTGTATGACTTTCTGTCTTCTGTAAACTCCGGTTTAATAGCGTGGCGAGGGCGTGGATGACTGGATAGGACGAGTAACAGACTCGGAAGAATATCTAACACTGTGTATTGAGTGACTGCTGAGTGATAACTACGAAGAGTGTTGATGCGCGCTTCTTTAAGTATCATAGCGGCAGCTAACAGCTGGCAAAAATGCTTAGGTGCTGCTATGTGAAAGCGAACCAGCCTTGCAGGTGTGAGAATCTAAGCTTTGAGGTATTTGAGAATTCGGCGAAAGCAAAACCTTGGAAGATTCGAGAATCTATTGTTTGGATTATTCCAGAATTCAGCGAAAGCAAGGCCTTGGAAGATTCGAGAATTCAATCAACGTTGCTATGTGAAGGCTAAGCAGCCTTGCAGAAAGAAAGTTCGAGAATCTAAGCTTTGTAAATTTCCGAGAACCGAACACCTTGAAAAAATGCTCCAATTCCGAACAAATTAATATATAATAATATTAAAAGTTTTTCAGTATTAATTTCATTGGAGCTATTTATTTTTGAATGAATGTAAAATATACGAGTAGTGCTTTTTTGTATAAGATAAAAAAAAAACTTTTAATTTTTCATTCGATTCATGATTGTATCAACTACTCTATTTAAGTGTTCAAATTTTTACACTTGCATTTTTATTGATCAACTTTTCTTAATATTAATTTTTCTATATTAATAATGTTTATACAAAGTTATGATTTTAAACAATTTAGTTTGATGTAATTAGAAACATAAAAAGTACAAAATAACTACTATAAGGCTTTGATAAATTCATATGACTGGAAATGAAACTGGAGATTCATAATAAGAAATTTTGTAATAGTGTCCTGTACTACGTTCTTCTTTCATTAATTTTTGTGCTGTAGCTAAACACTTAAAAATTAATTCGTAAGAGATATAAATTACATTGTTTAAACAGAAATACTAAGTAATAACTTGAACGTAATAAGAAACTAAAATTATTACACGATTTGTTTTTATTTAGATTACGGAAAAAATTAAAATATGTGAATCATTATATAAATATTGTTTAATACAGTGAGAATTAAATATTTTTCTTGAGATTGTTTATCTAATTTACTTATACAATTTACTTCTTATTTGAATATTGTTTTTATAGTTATATTAAAAAAAAGTTGTTTACAAAAAAATCATTTTTAATATTACTGATTTATTAGTATATACAAATATGAACCATAATTTCGGAGCCATAACATTAAATAAAATACAAAACCTATAATAGAGAACTTATGTATTGAAATTTTATAATAAATTTTTCAATATCAAATGATTTATTAATTTATTAATAATATAATATGCAAAAATAATGTTAAAGATACATAATAACATGTAATTATGTACATTGATAAGAATATAATTTTTTTAGTACTCTATTATGTTTCAGTATTAAATTATATAAATTTATGAGTTTAACAAGAAGTTCACTATAATTTTGCCTTGATTAATAAATTAAAATTTGTCTCAATTAATATTCAATTGATACAAGAATAATAAAAAATAATTCTTATACGTCCACAAATAACAAATTTAAAAATGAAAATTTTTAATTTTCTATAGAAATATGCAAGTATTTATAAGATAATATCTTATGTTATATTATGTTTAATTATATAACTAATATTTTAGGAATAGATGCCCATAGCATATCTCTATCAGAACCAACTTATAACGAAAGTTCTTTTTATTCTCAAGCTATCATTACCTGCTCACATCTGTCATTACAAATATCTCACACTAAGAATCCAAGCTGGTACTCATCTTCAACATTACTTCCACATACAGTAGATTCATTACCTAAATCTTCGACTCCTTTATTAAGTTTACAAATGTTAGTTGATAATAGACAAAATCAAATGAAAAACAAATCTGAAAGAAAAGATTTCTTCGAATCAGTCTTAAGTACGGATATATCGAGTGCACATCAAAAAACATGTCAAGAATATCAAACAAATTGTACTTTTAGAAATGCAGATAAGATTCATGAAAATGATATTCTTTCATCCCAAATATCGAATACGGAGTGTCATTTAGGAGATCCTGGTTTATCTATGTCAGTTAATCTTTTACCATCCACAAAAAATAGGAATGAAAGTAATTATAATCAGGAAAAAAATATTGTAAAAACTACATCTACAAAATGTAATATATATAAAACTGAAATTAATAATAGTAATCATGATAAATTAATAGATACTAATATTAATATTGCTAAAAATATGTTAAATTTTTCTCCTGATATTACAATTGAAAAAATTGATAATGATAAAAAAGAAAATGAAATAATTCATGATGTTGATTGCTCAAACATTTTGAAAACAAAAGGGATAACTCCTACAATTACATTAATATCTAAGTTAGACAGAAATATAAAGGATGATACTCAAGAGGTTTGTTCCGATATAAAAAGAAAAGTAAACGAATTAAATATTAAATCTTCTAAAAGTTTATTAAAAAGGGGGAGAAAAGGAGTAGATTCTTTATTAGAAAAGCTAGAAAGTTGTAGCAAACGAATTCAAAGTGATAATCAAGGATCCACTTTTGTAACGAATGTAGATGAAAAAGATACAAATAGTATTAGAAGTATGTCGCCAGAATACTGTAAGTCTAGATCACCTACTAGTAGGGATGATGATGTGATTTCACCTAGTTTTAGCAATGATGATTCAAATGATACAAAACAAAGAAGAAAACGAAAGCTAGGAAAACCAGTCAGACTATCTAAAGAATTAAAATTAGAGCATGAACATGTAGAATTGGAAATTACGAAACCTAAAATAGAAACAAAATCTGAAATTGCGGATTACACAGCGGAAAATTTATTAGCCCAAAATTCTGCAGTATCTTCTTATACAGAAACTAATAAGATTAGGAGAACAGAGTTTGGAATTAAAAAAATTAATAATATAAAAATTTTTTCAACGACAAACCGAAAGATTGATGAAAGATTTAAAATTAGCACTTTCGATTTAGGTGAAATATGTGCTTTTAAAAAGGAGAATAATAATAAAATAAATAATCAAGATCATTTTAGTAAGAATTTCACAGACAAGATAAACTATAAAATAAATATGAGTCAATATTTAATTCATGCCTTAAAAGATACAAAATGTGTTAGAACACGAAGAAGTAGTGAATGCTCCGAGAATTTAAGTAATATAAATCGAAGAAAACGAAGAAAATCGTGCGATGATGTACAAGATTTTCTTGATGAATCAATTACAATTACTGCTGCAACAAATAATACTACTGCTTTTAACGAAGTTGAATCACAATTAGAAAAAATGTTTGCAGGTATTATTGAAACTGATAAAGATTTTTTGAAAAAAACGTTTTTAGAAACAGAAAAACCAATTACTTTACTATTAGACGAAGAGCAAAAGGAAAACTTTAATAGTGAAAAGATAGTATCAAAAAATATATCCAAAAACACATCATCTGAAGCAATATGTAATAATAATTACAAAAAGAAAAAGAAAAATATATCAAAAATGCGTTCCCACAAAAAGAAAAATAACTCTTCTAAGGAAATTACGGATATATCAATGAATAATTTGCATAAAGATAAATCAAAACCACGTAATGATAAACGTTCGACAAAAAAACAGTGTTTATTAAAAAAAAAAAAAAAGAGTATTAAAATAAATACTTTCAGGGAAATTATTTATGATTCTGCTATCAATACAAGTCCGAATAAATATAAAGGTCCAGTTATACAGATAAAAGGATCAAAAAATAGTTCTTTGTGTGTTCAAATTGTGAATACACCTCGAGAGGATGATGAAGAAAGAAATAAAGAAAGACGTAAAACTATAGGAAATGGAAATATAGGTAGAAGCAAAAGATTACATTTTCAAAATAATCTTGATTATCGGGGTAAGTTCAATTATATTATAAATAATATTTCATAATTTATTTAATAGTATTTGTTATATAATATCTTAGCTTAATTTAATTCTTGTGAAATGTTTGTTTGTAAAACAAATGAGAAGGTTTTTTATGTGCAGCATGCATTGATACTCACACAGGATTCCATAACAATTATTCAAATTATTTAAAAAAAATATAATTTGTAATAACCGCTAAATTATATTAACAGAAATGTTATTAAATACTTTATTAATTCCATAACGATATTAAAATAAAATGTAGAATAAATGGTATAAATTAATATTTAACGAATACACAATCTAATATTAATTTTACATTGAAAAATTCATGAATATTGTATAAATTAAATGTTAAATAATTTTGTATTTTGGTTTCAACTCCATCTTATTATTTTGTACCCATCTTTTTATTATCACTACAAAACTGTTTTCTGATATAACCGTTAAATTTTCTTAAATTCCTAAAGACTAATTTTTAATTTCTTGCGATAGCAATATTGCGTTTTTATACCGAATTGTTTTATCTTTGCTTATAGAATTATACTTTTAATTCGTTTAAAATGTTTTAATGACATTTAACGGAGATATTTTCATGTTATTCTGGATCTAAGATTTTATAGTTAACTCATTTTTCATCATATTAAAGTAGGAATGGTTATCTGGGTGATCTACGCAAAAATATTTCTATGATAAAATATTAAATTAATATATAAGCAAAACTGAATTATTTCCTTCAAAATATGACTTATAATGATAAATATTATACATTGCATTCTGTTAGAGATTCAGAGAATCTCTCGAATGTTATCATTTGGGGAAATGATTTAAATTTCTAAGGAAAACCTTCAACGGTCGTTGGAGGTTCGAAAAAACTAGTACATCAGAAACTATACAAGTAGCAATCCCTCCAGTGCTTCTAGCGCCATGATCGGCTCCATTGTTGACTGCTAACAAAGCTGTCGTGTGGATATTTAAGAAAAGTGCACCACGAGGCGCATTAATAGATTTTCACTCGTTGACGCAGTCTGTCATGCTACTCACCTATGAAGGCTAATCAGCCATGCGCTTCAGCCAAGCGCTAATCATTCAGAGCAACATACTCTGTCTTTAAGCGGAGACGCCTTTGACAGAGCCGCTCTAGGGCGGGGAGACCATACCAGACTGAAGTTCTCGCTTGGTAGGGACACCAAGAAGCCAGAGGTGCTATCTGAGTAAGGCCACGATCGAAGCAAGACGCATCAATTCTCTTGTGCTGTAAATAAAAGGTATTCACGCTATCTCCTTCATATCAAGAAAACGTCAGACGATAGAAGACATACTCCCTAATACAGGAGCGTGCATAATCATTGCTTTTCCTTACAAAATCAACAATAATTCATCGCCATTACCAAGGAGCATTCGTGATGATGAGTTACTCATTACAGGTTTAGATTAAGGCTACTGCATCACTGTGAGTAAACAAAGTCTGTGCATATAATTGTTAATTCTTAATCCAGGAGCGTGCACATAATTGCTAATCTTTACAAGATTAGCAAACATTATGACATAGCGTAAGCCACGCTCTTTTTCACAGAGTGTGCATTCTGAATTGTTGATTCTTTACAAAATCAATAACATCATCATCAAGGAGAATCTCTTGTAGATAAACTATTCACCACAGGAGCAGTTCCAAGCAACTTCATCTTCGTGATTGAACATAGGATACACTTTTCCATCGCATACATTCAACACATGAATAATGTAATTGTAAATAAACCATAATAAACCATATTTATCGAAGAAGCGTACACTGTATTTCTACAGCCTTTTCACATGACTCCTTCCCAAGTATGGCTAGGGAGAGCGTCAATTATTATAAAACTATCGAAACTATCGAATACATTTTTACTGTTTATTAGTATTTACATATTTTCTATATATATATAATAACTTTAACGACTGTAAATTGTCTGTTGTAACTGTGAAGTTATCAATCAAGTAATCATTGAGAGTAATAGAAATCATAAATATATATATACTGGAAGTTTCTAAATTTTTCATTTACTCCTTTAAAATTTTGAAGCGACATGAAATAATAAGGAATACTAATACGAATACTATTGCTTTTAAGGTATGTATGTATTTCATTTCAAGCAATATGTACAAAATGTAATTCGCCGTTCTGGTTTGTTTTACCAAGACCGTTTCGAAGGATACAAATTGATGCCGTTGACAACTCAGAGATCACGGGTGTTGTGTGGCATCGATGAGAGGTCACAAGTGGAAGGGATATAATAATACAATATAAATATGGCTGATGTATATTCTGTTTATTCTGTTATTTATTTGATGCCAAGGCTTGACTAGTATTACTATTATTAATTATTGAAATAACTCTTGTGGTGGATTAATGTACACTCATCTGTTTGGATGAGCACGTGCGTAATTGAGGTTATGGTTGTTACGTAGCCCGATACATGTAACTGTTGTGAGATATACTCGTATCGTAGCAAATGTATCTTGACCCGATATTAGCATACTGCGATAAATTCAGTTGGAAGTAAGAGTTTGAAGGGCCTTTACATCATGAAGGATACTGCTACTTGTTGTGTCTTCTGCAAGCATTGAATGGCACACTGTGGATTCATAAGCGTCAGACTTTTAACTAAGGTGAGGGTAAGGTCGGCAAGTCTCGCATCAGATGATGCGACCTTGACGAGCTTGGAATTATTTCGCACTATCTCTCTGGTGAGAGCCTCTTCTTCTTGGTTGATTGTCGGTGACGTATTCTGACTCTTAAGTTTTATTTAATTATTGTAGTGGTGATACTACTTACGAAGACTAATCATCGACTTGTCTTCGAACTTCTATAGGAGGATATGTCTTCTATCGTTTAGAACTTGTAACAACTATTTCTTGAACAACTTTCACACTTCGTTGACACTTATTTGTATAAGTACTGTATCGAGAGTTTTGAGTATTGAAAAATGCGCCCCTTAAATACATTTTCTGATCATGAACTTCACTTGAACCCTTTCCCTTATTTTTCGTCCAATCAGAGACTCCTCCCTTACAGAGTGAAGATAGTGCCTTTTGTGGCTTCATAGTTAATGAAGGGCGTAGTCGTCTCTTAGTATTCACGGCAAGAAGAGCTCTCGTTGCCGCTGACGCATCTGGCGACATGACAATTTATTGCCAGCGGGAAGAGGGTGAAGGTTCGCTAATACATACCGCTTGAAGTAGTTACCGAACGGAGCGAATTCGTACAGATGCATAAATGAGTTGGGATTTCTCGTGTCTATTGTCTTGTTTTGCCAGATGTTTTATGATTCTATTGCTAGATGGTTATGAGCAAGAAAGTTTTGAAATCTAAAAGACAAATTTACGATGTTATATTGCGTTGAAAAAAAGTCTCGCAATTTTGAACACAAAACATCGATTATGTTACTGACTACCCTAGGAAGACAATTATCTCTCGCATTTTGATTGACTTTCTTATACTGAAATATTTTTTCCTTTTGAATAATTGTTCGGTTAAGTATTTAATATCATGAACACGTGATTATTGTAATTAATTTCTGTTTAAATCATAAAGTCTTACAGTTTTGGATTAAGCATTGTTCGATTGCGTATATTTTTATCTAAATTATGAAATTTAAACATATACTTAATATTAGAATGTACAAATTTGTATTTAAGATTAATGTTACGGATTGAAACAGTTGAAAGCGGAATATAAAACACGTATACACGTACGTAATACTCAAACAGTAAGCAATCTAACAAGCAAATAGTGACGCCACATCAAAATCAGTTAACTAAACTTAAACTAATAACGCGCTTAATAATCGAAATCATACTACACACATTAACGGATCACACCGACACTAAGATAGGAGCAAAACGGTTCCCCTTTGGACGACTTCGGTACGACAGCGGCGACTCCCACGCATACTACTACAGCCGCACTTCTCGGAAGGGAAGGAGTTACTTCTCACGTCACGGAGAGTATACACACTCTCCTCAGCGGTAAACTAATTGAAGAAACTTCCCCAAATCATTCGCTCACACCATCATTCATACATTTTATGATCATTGACTATTTATTATATTATTACATTTAATAAAGAAAAGACAAGAAACACTGCATGTATTATTGAAAAATTGCATTGCCCCTTCCACTTGCCAGCAACACCACCCACCATCAAAGGGAAGTTTCTTAGTCTGATCCCAGACTATTAATAGTTAGAAATTTTTCTAAACTTTGTATTATGACGTAACATATTGATTAGAAAAAGTTAGTACTTAAAGGCGAAATAACATGAGAACTAATAAATAGAAAAGTATGTGATCATGATTAATAAGTAACGTGAAAAGTTACTGTTTTGTTTTACAAATATACGAACAAAAAATAATAATAATTGTGTTGGCGTCAGCTGAAGTTCTGATGACTAGTAAAACCTCTGATTATTATTTATTAATGTACGAAAACTTTATATATTATAGTAGTATGGATTTAAAAAGAATTGTTCGAACTATTCTTATATAAAAAACTTGAAAATCTTTAATTGTTAAAACAAAATTGTGTACAAATTTTCATACAGTTTATTCATTAATAATCCTTTTGAAAAATAAACAAATTTTTATTACAATTTTTTCAATTGTGATTGTAATATTATCCTTAGTATAAACTTAATCAAATATAGTGTTTTGTTTTCGTAGAACTTTATCTCAAACGATCGTCTTTCATAATATAGTAAATGTCAGGTTGTTATATTAAAATATTAAATATTTTGAGAAATCTACAACTATAGCAAACATTAATGCTATTCATTTATGATTCGAATAAAAAAATTTTAATTTGTTTTAATTTAATTTTCAATGAATCTAATATAACAGAATGTAATATTTTATGATTTAATATTTAGTAAGTTTATCAATTCAAGCAGTGGACCAGATTTAAGTGACATGCAAAAATAGAATGTAATAGTAACTCGATTGATTAATTCATTTTTTAATACGAATGAAAGATTATATATGTTAGATACAGTAGTTATTACAATATTTTATGATATATTTACAGTTTATATTTTTATTATCTAACTTTAATATAATTGTTTAACGTTGCAATATTTACTTTTTTACGATGTTATGCGATTGAACTTTAATTTTACTGCAATTTCGATTAAGAACCTATCTTCAAAATACTTCGATAAAACAGCTTTTGCATTCTGTTCAGAATTCCAGTTATACGATGGTCGAAGGATCAAGATGGTTTCATTAGACCATGCCCACCATTTTACTGTTAGAAAAGTGTGGTTAATACTTCCATTCAGTATTCAACACATTTGCTTTTCGTGCTTATTGAGTTATTTTACAACTATACAATTATGATTCTACGTTGATGATGAGAATCGTTGAGATCTTGCCATTCCTAAGGGGCTTCCACATGGTGGTAGTATGCACTACACGTCGAGGTAGGAGTTCGTAAATCTCCCGGTGATGCAGTGCACTTGGTAGTGGGTTACTACACTGAGAAGTGAGAGGTCGTAAATCTGTACATCCTTTAGTATAATGCCACATAGTGGTGTTTTGGTTGCGAGTCTCCTCTTGATGTGTGGATGGATGAAGAAATAATTTAATACCTTAATGTATGTTGGTAGTAAGTGTTATGCCACTTATCTGGACTTAGCACTTAACGTGCAGTGCAAGTAATGACGTCTTGATCCAGAATACAACGGCAGAAGTAGTGACATCTTCATACAGAATGCAGTGTGTTCCCTCCGAGGTGGCTCAAGTAAGACTTCTGCGGCGTCCCGAAGAGAGAGAGCCTTGACTTGTCGCGTACTTGTTTTATATCCACGAGACAGTTTAGTTAAGGTGCAACAATGGACAGGTATTGCTATGCGGAAATTTGTACAGAAGTTTCGAGAATTCTAGGAAAGCAAGCTTTGGAAGGTTGAAGAATTCAAACCGTCGTTGATATGTGGAGACTAGATAAACATTATAGGACGTTCAAACGCAAAGATTTTAGAATTATCGAAAATTTTAGGAATCAAATGTTTATGATTTCGAGAGCTAGAAAGATTATAAAATTCCGAGAACCAAAGTTTTTGGAAAGTGCTGCAATCCTGAACACATTAAAAAAATACTATTTAATGTTCTAATTATTTCGCTTCCTCCTTAATATGCACCAATTTTTTATTTTTCATGATGTGTTCTCCACGAGATACGGATTAAGCATATCATATTTATTATTGACTTAAGTTTAATAAATTTTACGTATTAGTTTCATAATATTTTCTTAGTTATAGTTTGATACAAATTCTAATTGATATACGTTAGCGTTAATATTTTATGTTAATTGCATGTTATCCAAAATATATTGTAATATTGAAATAGGCTCAATACTCGATAATATGAATGTAATAATTTCACGTGTTCCTACATTCTAATATTTTTATTAATTTTTAAAATATACTATGTTGAATTTATCTGAAAAATAAAATATATTCTTACATTCGAGTATTAAAAATACATTTTAACATGTGATTAATACTGTAAGTGCAGTTTCCAGATATTTTAATTAAGAAATAATCTCTTCTAGGTAAAGTTTATAATAGTGGTCTTTTTAATTCTACACTATCCATTAGATATGATGCACATACGGCTGATGTAACGTGGATATGCGTTTTCTGTAAAAGGGGTCCACATTTTATAATACCTGGAGATTCTGCTAGACCTCATCCGAACGTAGCTGGACCTCATATTACTCCTGGAGCATACACAGTAAGAAAGACATTACTTCACATACAGTTTATTATAAACTCTTCATTTTGTCCAAAATTAAGAGGATTGGAAGTTTGAATTTTAATTGATTAAATTAAATTTATTTTTATTGCACTAATAGGCCATAACATTTCTCATCTAAGAATGTACCTGTATTTCCTTAAGTAAAAATTTATATTGGATATTTAAAATCTTTTTAGACAATCACTATTTTTAATATGACTGAATGTTTGACGAAAAATCTTTAAAAACTCTAGAATAATTTGCAAATAAAGCATAAACTTAATTAAAATTGGTAGTTTTTTTTATATAAAAATAAAACATTCAGAATTATTATATAGCATTTATGGTAATCAAAAGCACAGGACAAGGATAGTTAAATTAAAGAAATATAAAGTAAAAAAATCAATAGTCTTAACAAATTTTTTCGTATTTTACTTTCCTTACTTTGTTTATTGGTTGTCTGGGATCAGACTTGAAAACCTCCCGGTGATGTTAAGTGGAAGAGGCACATCCAATCATTCATTTCTACACACAGTGTATCTTGGTTTTTCCTTTATTAAATACAATAATGTGATTATAATTAATGGTTGTAGATGTATATGAATTGTGATTATGAGTGACTTAAATCAATCAAGTTTCTTCAGTAATTTTACGCGCGGATGAGATTGTGTACTTTCAGTAGCATGAGGCATGAATTTCTACTGCCTTGAAGAGTGTCATGTTTTGATCTTAAGGAATGTGCGTAACAGCCGTTGCTGTTTTAGGCGTTCAGGTGTATGTGGATAAACCGTTGCTAAATTTACGTGTGCGCGATGAGCCACGGCTACACAACCGTTGCTAAATTTACATGTACTTGATGAGCTTTCGTTTTTGTATCCGTTGCTACTTTTACGTGTGCGCGATGAGCCGCCGCTTGTGTATATACGTTGGTGTTATATCTTCGTCAATTTCACTTTTTAATTACGCTTGGCAGTAGAGCTCCTTGAATATAACACTTAACGGGTTATGATTGTTGTGGCGTCAATGTTGGTTTATTAGATTGATTGTTAATTGATGATAAAGTACTTGTATTGTTACAGTGAGTGATAACTGTTCGTTGAATATTCGAAAAGAAAAACAGTGAGCCCGTCGTGGTGACTGAATAAATGTTAATAGTACAGTGTGCGGCGGGTGATGAGCTGCTCTTAAATATTCACGTAGCAGCTTGCGATGCCGGCAGCAGCGCCAATGTTTGTTGCTATGTCTAAATTTGTCGTGACGTCTGCAGGATACAGCCTTGAAAAGTTCATCGGCATTGCTATGCGGAAATATTATCATATATTCTCATTTACGGCGTAGAAAAATTCCCGAATTTGCTGAATCGTGTTTACAAACATGAGCGTCCGGGAGCTTGTACTTTTCTCTATTTTAAATTCTGCTTAAACTGCTTCAATCCCGAACATTGGCCAACATCGATAAATAATTTCTTCTCAAATTGCTTTCTATATACAATAATAAAATAAGTACGTTGAATTCAATTAGCTTTATTTCATGATTTTGTTAATATTAACTAGTATAATAATTATCTTATGATATTATTAATATTCATTTCATTTCATTTCTTTAAATATTCTAATGAATTACAAAGCTACGTCAAAAAATTTATCTTCAAGACATATGCTTTTAATAGAAGTTATCATTCATCATTCCAATATTATATGATAAAACAACTATAAATAATTAGAATTAGAAAACGATTTATAAAATAATTAGATATTAATTCATATTTTTTAGGCTCCTGTCGGAGTTCTTAGTGATTTATTTGGACCATATGTAATTGGAAAGGATGTTGAAGATAGTGTTATGTCAGCAGATGAACATGAAATAACAAAAGAACAAAAACAAGGCAATAAAAATAAGCGGAGTTTAAGATATGCTGGATTGGCGGATCAATTTTTAGCAAAAGTATGTAAAATAAAAAAGAAATGTTTAAATCATAGCAATATTTATATGGGTATGACTAAATTGAGTTGTGATGAACAACAATGGGAAGTCTGGGTACACGAAGAATGCATAGTTTGGGCAGCTGGAGTATATATAACAGGTAAATTTTATATTGCATTTAATAGTAACTTATAATTTCTTAATTATTTTTATTTTATGTAGTAGAAATAGTTTCTATATTTTTTCAATTATGGTATTATATAAACTAAATAAAAGTCTATTTTATATAAATTTTTAGTTCTCTAATAACTAGTCACATTTTTATTAAATATAATTATTAAAATTGCGATGATTAATAATAAACTAATTGAACCATAAATAGTATGAAAAGGATACATAAATACAATAACATAAAATTTTATAATTTAAATTATAATTGAATACAGAAAAAATTTCAAATTGAAGTGAAAACTCTGTAGCCTATGGCGTAATAATTAAAAACAAGATTAAACAAGGGCTTAAGAATGAATAAAGAATTATTTTTATTATTATCCAGCAACATGATATATAATTGATAATAATTGATATTTAAAAAGAAATGTGTTTATCAACTAGAAATCATTTAGCATATAATACAAGTGTACGCAAACTTTAATAAATTTTGGTATAGAAAATTTGTAACAAAATGAAAAAAGTATTACATAAAACAATGAACATTATACTGTAAACCTAATATTAATCTTGCAAATTATAGAAGTATACTTAGGTGTTGAAAAAATATTTAAATATAAATATTAAGTAAAACACTTGTTAATAACCTTAACTCAGTTTGAATATCGATCTGAAATTACACAATTAGATATTGATTAGTGTTTTTGTTTTGATCTTGTCAAAATTTACGTAAAATTTCATTTGTCTTGCATTACTGAAAAAAAATACAATGCGAATACATCACCGTTTAATAAATTCTTAAATAGGTTGTTTTTAAATAACTTTATAAATTTTATAAGAACTTAAATCAAGTAATCAAAGTTAAAAAGAATGGATTGATAAAAATAAATAAACATAAAAAGAAAGATAAGTATAATTAGAAATTGTAATAATTTAATATAATCGTTATGCTATTATATAATAATAATTTAAAAATTAACAAAAATAATAGTGTTCGATAGCTTTATAATATTTTATAAATATGGTTTATAATGATTTATTTACACTATTGATGTTGGATTTATGTGACGGAAGGGTATATACTATGTTCAATTACGATGATGCAGTTGCTTAGAACTGATCCTGTAGTGAATAGTTTATCTACACAAGATGCTCCTTGATGATGGTAATGATGTTGTTGATCTTGTAAGAATCAGCAGCTGATTATGCTCACTACTTGTTAGTGAGTATGGTTTTCTATGTTAATAATAGCCTTTGCTAATTTTGTAAGTATTAGCAATGATTATGCTCAGACTTTGTTTACTCATAATGATACAGTAGTCTTGACCTATTCCTACGTTAAATAGTTCACCATCGCGAATGCTCCTTGTTGATAGTGATGAACTGTTGTTGATTTTGTGAGTTTGTCTTGTTATGTTTTCGAATTCTGATTTATCTTGATATGAAGAGAGATAGTGTTAACACCTTTAATGTTAGAGCAAGAGAATTGACACATCTTCCGTCTATGGTCGCCTAACTTAGATAGAGCTTATTCGCTATAATGTCCCCAGTAAGTATGTGAGCCCTTGCTCGAAGCCTAGTTAATGCTAGAAAACAAATGGTTGCGTTGTGTACTTTTTTTATATGTCGAACGGTAGTTGGAATATTTCTCAGAAATGATATTTGATGAGATTCTCGGAAATTATAACGGTTGGAGCATTCCCAGAAACGGTATTCGAGAGATTGTCGGAATCTCGAATAGATAGAAAATTGAATGGGCCTAAATAAAATTGTATTTATATGTATCAAATTTTTAATCAATTTTCTTTCATTATTTATTAACGTGATATAAAAATGCTATGCAAAGTATATCGTGAATTAGCATCATCATTTTTTAATAAAAATATATTTATTTGTGTTCAATTATTAAGGGTTTGATTTATGGCTCGAACTGCCAATTCAATATTTCAGTGGATTAGTCTCTCGTCATGAAGACTGATGAGGAAATAACAGGTGGAAGGGCTGAAATTAAGTACAGTATATTATTATTGTATTATTATATCGTTTATTCTTGTTGTCAATTATTATAATATTGCAGTTTTGATTGCTTCAGGTGAGAAAAGGGAAAATATTCTATTGCTGTGATGAAGTTATTTCTGCAGGGTGATGGTGATGTCGTTAATACGTAGATTACTGTGGATCCTGAATGTGGGGTTTATGCTGATGTTGTAAGGATCAGCATGTGGAGTCGATCATGCTCATGAATGAGTATGAGAAGATGGTGATTTTAATCAAGTATGTTTGGTAGAAAGAATGATCATACTAAAGTAGAGTGTAAAAAAGTCTCGATGGAAATTGGTACGTAATCAATTATGTCTCTAGTGAGGATGGGAGTAGTAGAAACCTAGTCACACGCAAGAATCCTAAATGAGAAGCCTTCGAGCTCTGAAGGTCTTAATGAAAATGTATTTATAATCGATTATTCGATAAACTGTTGTCTGGCCTTGACAATGTAATTGACGTATTGCGTCACTTGTGTCGACTGTATGGGGTGATGTGCGTTCTTCAAATTGTCAGTTCTAGAGAGCATACTCTATCACCTGTCGACTGTTTGAAGAGAAGTTTTATGAAATTTGATTTGCGCGTGCGTGACTAGCTTGTTGAAATAATATAAAGAGATGTACCTTGTAAACTACCTAAAAGATATGTTGATTTGCTGCGTGGCTGGCGTGTCCCTTTTGATTACGATTCCAATAGCTTCACTGTTAAATCACTACACGTTCTTCCTGACTTTCATAATGCACATGTATCTTTAGGTTAGCTGCCGAACATGCAGCCACGTGTTATTGTCGCAGTATATACTAAAACACACTGAGTGGTAATAACAGATGAGTGAACGAGAGGCAGAATTACAATGAGCTTATAAGCTTTTTGAATACCCGTACGAAAACCGAAGGCTTTATCATTCCGTGGCGGCTCTGATGAAAATATCGACTATTCCATGGCGGTCCTGCGGAGGGCAAACCGAGACCCGTGCCATGGCTTCTACTGGTAGAGGGTTAGATCGGTTGACTGGCGTTGGGTCACGAAAAGAGGTTTCCACCAAGCGCAGTTCAGGAAGAGAGCGAGGCACTCCGCGTGCTTGCGTTATATATTCACGATGCTAGTCACTTAGCTGGCAACAAGGCATCGTTGTTGCTGCACTGGAATATTACATTAGACACAGAAAGAAAAATCTAGAACTTTCGAGAATTCGACGAAAGACAAAATAAGGTGTGTTAACTTTAGAGAATTCCGGGCGATGTTACCCGAAGGCCATATAAACATTGCAGGCCATTTGAAACCAAAAAAAAAACAAGTGTACGAAAATTCTCGTCCAAAATGTTTACACAAATCGGAGATCTAAAAGGCCGGCGATGCCGACAATCGGTGGTCTTGGAACCTGCTTAAATCCCGAACAATTTGACATAATTTGAATAAACCTTATTGAGACATTTTTTATCTGAACTAGAAAATACAGCGTATATTCTATACATAAAGTAACATTTTATAACGAAAGGAATTTGAATAATTTTATAAGTAATAGAGTTATAATTTATTGTACTTGAAAAACAAAAGTTTAAATTATAAAATTATTTGATGTTTATTTATAAATAACGTATTAAATACGTAAAAAACACTCAGTTTAATATTTTATACCATAAGGTATATTATTTTTTCTCTTTATATATTAGTATTTTAAATAAATAAATTTGAAATTATATTACATTTTTAATATAAAATATTTTTACGTGGAGTAATTATGTTAGTTTATCATAATTTTTTACCAATCTAATTTAAGTTTCTTATATTTTTTATTATATTGTAGGTGGAAGAATAAGTGGTTTACAAGATGCTGTATGGGATGCTTCTCAATCTGTTTGTGTTTCTTGTGGCTTATCTGGAGCTAATATTGGATGTATTAAACGAGGGTGTAAATTTGTAACACATTATTGTTGTGCTCTTACATCAGGATGGCAACTTAATATTAACCAATTTTTACCTAAATGCAATATTCATAGAAAACTCTAAATTGCTTCGATTGTAGAATTAAAGTAAAGTGTTGATAAAATATATATAGAGTCAAGAACTGTAAATGATATAGTTGATCAAAGTATTTATTTATTCTATTATTTGCAACTATTTATAATTCATTTTAAAGTATTTTCATTTGATTGATGTTACTATTGTGATCTAAAATTCGACATATATATTATATAAATTGCAGAATATCCAAAAATTTATAATATTTTTTTATTATCTAGCCTTATCTATAATTTATATTAAATGCGCCAGATATAGTAATCTGATAAAATCTAAAAATACATATATTTGTAATCGATGTAATTATGTAAGACGATGTAATATATAAAAATAAAATGTTTTATTTATAATGGTATTTCTAATATATTTATGTATAATATCAAATAAGGTTTAAGTTAATACCAAAAACATAATATTTCTCATGATCTGCTTTTTTTCGATTGATTATATTTGACTAATTTTGTATTATTTCATAGATTATTAATAAAAATAATTGCTACAAATATCGCAAATTATTGAATGTCTTGATTCGATAATTCGAAAAATAAAAAAACGTTTTCTTGGAACACTGGACGATTTCAACAACACTCACTACTACCGGTGAATCGTTCTGTACAATTGTAACTGAACCTAAAATAAATGTCACTAAACCCAATTGTGCTTATACTGAATTGTTACATTAACCTCTCACTCATCTCCACTTTTCCATCAGTAAAACAGTGGCATGGTCTAATCCAATTACGTCGATCTCTTAAACCTCCGGGTGAGTGAAATTCTGAACAATAATAATAAATTTTTTTACGTTATATACGATTACAACGAAAAAATAATGCCGAGCTGTTAATTACTGTAAACTTTCATTTTCGTTACTCTTCTGTAAATCAGATTATTAGAATTAACTATTTTTTATTAACATATATTAATTTTTTCACTATTTACATTATACATAAAATAAATCCAATTTAATTAATTTTTATAAATTTGTAAATTACTCAAAATTCATTCTAAAACGATTATGCTCTATCTATATGGTATTTTATTATAAAAAATGTAAACATATTATATAAAAATTATAAATAAAAAATATATCATAAAAATTAAATTGAACTTTCATTCTGATAATTTACATACTCAACAATTTTTACTATTAGCATTGTTTGAAAGTGCTATTTTTTCCTTGCTCGCACTGCCAATGTTTCAATAGCTTTAATAATTAGCCGCCCGCCCCAGCAGATGCTTAGGTCAGAATCATGTGGAAGGGTTGTAGAAATATGTAGTATGTGCCAGCTTCATTAACATATGGTTTATTAACAGTTGCGTTAATAATAAGCAGCTTTCTCTTCTTATAAAAGAGTGTAAACTCAGTCTTGTCTAAATGATGTGATTGCTCCTTCATAGTGACGATGTGTGCCCTTGTTTCGGATTGAAACAGTTGCAAAGCGGAATACAAAAGTGGGAGAGGTATGAACGCGCGATTCAGTTATTTTAACAAAGCAATAGCAGCGAACCTTCCAGGCTATGCCCTGTTGACGTCACGGTAACAAAACACCGGCGTTTCAAGCAATAATGCGATAATATTTAAGGGCTGCGCTTTACACGTAACAGTTAGTTGTTCTTAGTCCAGTCTATTAACAATTGCGCAGTCATTATAACGTGAGCATTATTCAATCTTCTGCAATTAAAAATTCAGATAATCAAGAATACAAGAAAGAACTCCCACTACTACAATCGATTACCTCTATCTCAATAAAAGTAACCAGAACACTACAATATTATAATTTTATACACAAATAATTTATAATCGACTTTAATTATATTACATTATACTTTTATCATTTCATTTATGCATTACTTTTCTTAATACATTATGGCGAGACATTAATCCACTGAACTATTAAATTGGCAGTTCGAGCCATAAAAATAAAACGTTAAAAAACGAACAGCTCTTGAAGAATATATATGCATACTCCAATGTAGTATGTGTGGCCTTGAAGTGTATAGAATAAAGTGGCTTCTGCTAATGTTGCCTGGATTAGCAATAATATGTTCATACATATGTATGGCCTTGAATGGCTCTCTTGATTATATCTATTCATCGCACGATCAGATCAACTGTATCGCTGTGACTAAGAATAGCATAAGCCGTACTCTTCCAATTAGAGTATTACAGAATTCATTGCTAATCCTTACAAGATTAGCAAGGTCCATTGAAAGCAATAGCGGTGATTGTGATGCTAGAAGCAATGGTTGCAACTGTGCACTTTAGATTTTTTGAGATGTTCAACAACTGTTGGAGTTTTCCTCAGATGTTTGATACTCGCGAGAGGTTCTCGTAACCTCAAACAACTTCGTAATGCGTCGTAAAACTTTGTAATGTAAATTTAAATATTTATTATCAATTTATGTTTAATCTTTTCCTATATTTAACTTTTATAACTATTAAATGATAATTATTAAATATAAAATTAAATTATGAAATTGAAATTTTTTTTTACATTCTTATAAATTTAATAGCAATTAATGTTCAATAGTACTGTTACGGATTGCAGCATTTACGCGGTAAACAAAGTGGGAGAGTTAGTCGTAAACACGATTCTCCGAAATCGGGAAACTTCAATACTCAAATAGTCAAATTTACATTACAATTTCGACGAACTCTCAAAGGCTAGATTCTAGTGACGTCACTTCAACTATCGGCATGACAAGAACAATATAGAATTCACTGGAATCGCAAGCCTGTACGATAATATTTAAGGAGACGCGCTTGACGCTCTCCTTACTAGTTCAATCAAGCAGTCATCAAGATCAAATCGCCGTTCTACAAGTCAACGCCATTTACACAGAGATCACCTCAATTCACACAAATTACCGTCCTACGAGTCAACGCCACTTGCACAGAGATGATCTTCAATTCACACACACCTACAGAGATAGTCTCCCAGTACCATCACACGGATCGAACTCACTACACGTAAGTCACGCTATTACACACGACTTACGTACCACCAATGCACCGAGATCGACTCCGCGCGTAAGTTGCGCTATTACACACCTTCTTACGAATCACTAACACACGGCTCTGTGAACTAAGTCAGCAGCAATACCTAGACCACGGCATTATTGCCCTTCACTAGTGACGTCACACACCAACGCCACCACCCAGGCCTCTCCAGCTTATCGGTAGCGGGAATCGGTGGCATTATCATTGCCCTTCATCAGTAAAGTCACACACCCAGGCCTCTCCAGCTTATCGGTAGCGGCAACGGCGGCATCAATTCTCCTCACCAGTAACGTCACGCACCAACGCTCCACTCAGGCCTCTCCAGCTTATCAGTAGCGGCAATCGGTGGCGTCAACACTCCCCTTTCACACCGTGACACTCTTCACGGCATCATTACACTTTATCAGCGCATCTCCCACTATTACTACGAGTCCTAACCACGATTAGGAGAATCACGCGCCACATCAATAATACACTTACAAGATTATTATCACTCATATTACCTGAAGAAACTCTCACCTACTCATTGTATCATTCATTCAATCTCACCTCAATAGACCAGTGATTATTTATTATATCATTATATTCAATAAAGGGAAACCATCTCAACACTCTCGGTAAAGTCCTTATTCAAATACGAAGTAGCACGACCCTCAATGAAGTCCGAAGACAAACTTTCGTTGAAGTTCTCATAGAAAATGAAGTACCAAATTCCCCATCGGAATCTGAAGACAAGTACCAGTTGAAGTCCTCATTGATGAAGGAAGTGGCAAAGACCCTCATTTGAGTTTAAAATTAGACTTCATTTGTAGACTTTATCATCTACTTTAGGAGTCACAGCCATCATCTCAGATTCAAGGTCTCCAGAAGTCAGGCCATCCAGCATACGTAAAGGATTGAGGCTAACTCACAGATACACGTAACATTATTTTAATTATTTTACAACACGCTTCCGATTACATGATTCGCTTGCACTGTCATGGCAAGCTTTATCAGAAAGATATGAGAACACTCGCCGAATAATACAATCTCACGTTTGTGAACTTCTCTCTGATTTCCCACGATTGAAGGATGACTCACAAGAAATTAAAGAGGTAGCTGGTGAATGTAGTGACTTATTAAAGAAATCACGATAATTACAACTCTACACTGATCCATTAGATTGTATAGTGGTTCATCGCACAGTGCAAAGATTCAGCCAGTACATATAAGACCAATGGGAGAATTCAATAGGTGACTCAAGCTCGTATCCTAAATCGAGCAGCTAAAGTGATTCCTAATATCCCGAGTAATGGCCCTTGTTCGATTGTAAAGGTTTAGTTTATGGCTGGAACTGCCAATTCAATAGTTCAGTGGATTAGTCTCTCGGCAGGATAACTTCAAAGGAAATAATAAGTGATAAGGCTGAAAAATATTATGTATTTAGTTAAAACAATGTTTATTATTTGTAAATGATTATAATAATATTGCACTGTTGTGTAGAGAGAGATGATTCTATCGAAGTAATAAGGGTGTGTTCTTGTATTCTTGATTATTGTAGTTCTATGGATATGACTCAGTATCTTGAGCTTGAAGTAACGCGCATGTTGTAAATATCAGCTGGTATAGTCAATCAATCATGCTTGTGAGGTAGCATGAGAAGATGGTAGTTGAATCAAGTATGTGTGATGTATGAATAACTATACTTGATATGATATAAGATATTTAATGGAATTTGTTAAGTAATCAATTGTCTTTAATTATGCAAAGGGACAGTAGAAGAACTAGTCACAGGTAAGAGTAATTAATGGTAAGATTTCTAACTCGTTAAGGATTTAATAATCAGTATTTATAGTCTATTAGTCGATTTGTTGTTGTCCTTCTTTGACAATGTGTGTGAACCACAGTGACTCTTGCGTCAGCTGTTGAGGGCCTATACGATGTCGAGGATTAGTTTGAGAGAGCGTAAGTGTCCCTGTTTATGCTAGCGGGCCTGTACGATGTCGAGGGTTAGTTCGAGAGA